CGTGGACTTTACAGCTGGACAAGACCTTGCTTATCCCTTGCTAAGATGCCTGTTCTGTTGCCAATAACCTTGGCAGCATGTAGTGTCTCAGATAGCATTTACCTTTTATGAACTAAACCAACATGATTCCCAGTGGACAGTCTTTTTTTTCTGAGTAAAGATGGTTTCTAAGTACAGTTGACCCATGAACAACATGGGTTTCAACTGGTGAAGGTCCACTTATACACAGATTTATTTTCAGTTGACCCAAGCAGTTCAAACCCTTGTTGTTCATGGGTCAACTTCGTGGTTAGAAATAGCATATACAGAGATCTAATTATATGTGGATTTTCAAATGTGTTGGAGGTCAGTTTCCCTAACCTCTGGATTTGCTATTTTTTATAGTAAGTCTTGAAGTCAGGAAGTATCAGGCCTGCAACTTTGTTGGGTCTACTTTAATTTATTCAGAAACACAATTCACAGTCACAAAAAAAAAATAAGCATTTACCAGAACTGCCTTCATCTTTTTAAAGATATTTTTGCTGGGTATAGAATTCTAGTTTGACTTTTTTTTCTTTTAGCACTTTATAGATATTCCATTTTGTCCTGGTAGTCATTGTTTCTGATGAAAATTGTCAGCTATAATTTTATTGTTGTTCTCCAGTAGGTAATGTGTCTTTGCCCCCATCTCTCTATGATGTGCCTAGGTATGGGTTTTTTGTATATATCTTGCTTGGGGTTCTCTGAGATCCCTGGTCTCTGGATTTGCTATTTTTTAAATCAAATTTTGGAAATTTTCAAGTAATATTTTCTCAAATAATTTTTGTCCCAGTCTCTTTTTTTCTCTCCCTAGGAATTTCTATTCATGTATGTTAGACTGATGTTCCACAGGTATTGAGAATATATTTATTTTTTAAAAATATAGACTTTAGTATGGTTAACTCTATTACCTTGTCTACAAATTACAGATCTTTTCTTTTATTGTGTCTAATCTGCTGTTAATTTTGTTCAGTAATATTTTTTTATTCATTAATTTTAGAGAGAGAAGAGGGGGGAGAGAGAGAGAGAGAAAAACGTTGACGAGAGAGAACATCACTTGACTGCCTCCTGCATGCCCCCTACTGGAAATTTGGCCCATAACCTGGGCATGTACCATGACTGGGAATTGAACTGGCGACCTCTTAGTACATGGGTCGATGCTCAACCACTGAGCCACACTGGCTGGGCTTTTGTTCAGTAATTTTTAGAATTTCAGAAATTGTTTTTCAGTTCTAGGTTATCATTTGGTTCCTCTTAAAGAGTTTCCTTCTTTCTCTTGAAATCCTCCATGTCTTCACTTATTATATCCACCTTTTCCTGTAGATTCTTTAACATATTAATACTCTTTTGAAGAAAAATAATACTTAACCCATCTCTTTCCTCTGGGATAAGTGTCTTGTTAAGTGGTGACAAAAGAAAAAGTTAGCTTTCATCATAAAAGCTTTGTTAATAAGTTGCTGTATATGCTATCTATATATCTACTTTGATGAGGTGTCTGTTCAGATCTTTTGCTCATTTTATAACTGGGTTTTTTTATTGTTGAGTTTTAAGAGTTCTTTGTATATTTTGGATACAAGTACTTTTCATATACAGTATTTTCTATAAATGTATATATAATATTTTCTCCCACTCTGTGGCTTGTCTTTTTATTCTCTTGTGTGTATTTTTTTCTTCCATAGGTCATACATTGCTGTTATAGTAAAAAATTCATTGCCAGGCCCAAGGTCATCTACATTTTCTCTTGCGTTATCTTCTAGAAATGTTATAGTTTTGCATCATGCATTTAGACCTATGATCCATTTTGAGTTAATCTTTGTGAAAGATGTCAGACAAGTGCCTAGATTCATTCATTAATTTATTCATGTATTGATTTATTGATTGATTGATTTCATGTGATGTTCACTTGTTCATTCCCCATTTTTTGAAAAGACTATCCTTTCTCCATTGAATTGCCTTTGCTCCTTTGTCAAAGATCAGTTGACTTTATAAATGGGGTTTATGTCTGTGCTCTCTATCTATTCTAAGATTAGCTCTATCTATTCTTTCAGCAATAACACTGTCTTGATTATTATAGTTTTATAGTAAGTCTTGAAGTCAGGTAGTATCAGGCCTGCAACTTTGTTCTTCATTATTATGTTGGCTATCCTTGATTTGGATTTGGATTTCACTGAATCTATAGATCAAGTTGAGAAGAACTGGCATCTTGACAATATTAAATCTTCCTATCCATGAACATGGGATATCTCTCCATTTATTTAGGTCTTTGTTGTCTTTCATCAGAATTTTGTGTTGTCCTTATATAGACCTTTTACCTATTAGATATATGTATATATGCAATTATTAGATATATTCCTGAGTAGTTTATTTCTGGGGTGCTAATGTAAATGGTATTGTTTTGTAATTTAAGTTCCAATTTTCATTTTTGGTAGATAGTAAATAAATTGTCTTTTGTATATTAACCTAGTATCCTGCAACCTTGTTATCATTGCTTATTAGTTCCAGAAGTGTTTCATCAGTTCTTTTGGATTTTTTACATAGGCAATTATGCCATCTGCAAACTAAGAGAGTTTTATTTGCCTCTTTCCAGTGTGTATATTCATTATTTAGTTTCTTATGTTATTGCATTGGTTAGGACTTCCAGTATGTTATTGGGGTGATGAAAGGGACATCTTTGCTTTGTTCCTCATCTTAAGGGGAAATTATCTAGTTTCTCACCATTAAGTATCATATTAACTGTAGGGTTTTTATAAATGTTCTTAATCAAGTTGAAGAGATTTCCCTCTAGTTCTACTTTGCTGAAAGTTTTTATCATAAATGGGTGTTGTATTTATTAATTATTGATTCTATTTCTGTAATAGGTATGAACCCTTTCTAAATTTTTAATTGGGTTATTTGTATTTGTATTGTTAAGTTGTAAGAGTTCTTTATATATTTAGATACAAGTATCTTATCAGATACTGATTTGTAAATATTTTCTCTTCTTTGTGTATCTTTTCACATCCTTTTTTTTTTTTTTTACTTTATTTTTATTGTTGACACTATTACAGATATTTCCATTTTACCCTTCTTTGTCGACATCCACTCAGCCTCTACACCACCTTCCCTCTGGCCATCACCACACTGTTGTCTATGTCTATGGATTATACATAAATGTTCTTTGGCTAATCTTTTCACCTTCTTTCATCTAGTCCCCCCCACCCCACTCCCTTCTGACAGCTGTCAGTCTGTTTCATGCATCCATGCCTCTGGTTCTATTTTGTTTGTTAGTTTATTTTGGTCATTAGATTCCACATATAAGTGAGATCATATGGTATTTGACTTTCTCTGACTGCCTTATTTTACTTAGCACAATAATCTCCAGGTCCCTCCATGTTGTTGCAAAAGGTAAGAGTTCCTTCTTTTTGCCCTGGCCAGTTTTGCTCAGTGGTTAGAGTGTTGGCCCACAGACCAAAGGGTCATGGGTTTGATTCCCAGTCAAGGGCACATACTTGGGTTGTAGGTGCAATCCCAGCCCCAGTCAGGGTCGTGTGGGAGGCAGCCAATTAATGTGTCTCACATCAATGTTTCTTTTTTGCTCTCTCCCTCCCTTCCACTCCATCTAAAAAAAAAAAAAAAAAAAAAAAATCAATGGGAAAATATCCTCAGGTGTGGATTAACAAAACAATGAAAAGAATATTCTCTTGAATTGAGAGGGTTGCATCAATCTTCTTTTCATTGGTCCTTGGATTTCCAGTGGCATGTTCATCAGTGGTTCTATACCAAATGCCTCTTCTTGAATAATACATTTTGCATCCAATGTAAAGAACAGATAGAGTTTAAGGTGGTAGAAGTTGTATTTGTTTTGACCACTGATGGTGTCATTTAAAAGGTGCTAAGGGTGTCAAGTTGGTGACTGTCGCATTTTTGACACTGAGGAGATGAGTTGTTGATGGTTTTGCTGTGGGTTTTAAGGTGGTGACTGTCACTGAGGAAACTGGAGTTGTAGATGGTTTCAAAGCCCCACTACTAAACTAACAGGGAATACCCCACATGTGAACATGTTAAACTAACAGGGAACACCCCTCATGTGAACATGTTAGTTTAATAGTGGAGCTGTTGAGAAGTGTGGACAGATTTCTGCTTGAAGATCCCAAGTCTGCCGTTCAACAGCGCCAGCTCTACCAGCATCCCCATGATGAACATGCCCCAGCCACCCTACACATCAAGTCCCATTGTTCTGAGGACAGGACACAGCGGCCTCCTGGGTCCCCAACTGAGGTGGCAGTGGCATGAGCAAGAGTGGCTCTTCTGCGCCCCTGCGCCCACTCTGCATCTTCCCCAGGCTGGGAGATTTTAAATTAAAGAGTGGTCTGATGAGTTCATGCTTTTAGTATGGGGATGGTTTGTAGGATGGGTCAGTGAGGGGAAATCCAAGAGACGAGGGAAACAGGAAAGAGGGGACCAGGGCCTGAGCTGGGGAAGAGAGGCAGTGGAAATGGAAATGGATGTCATGTGGGAGATATTTTTTAAAAGCTTGTTTCTGCAAAGGGCTGTGGGGGTTTCCCACAGGAAAGGATTCTTAGGTGGCCAGTGAGGATTATCACCATTCCACCCCAGAGCATCTGGCCTTGCTAAAGGTCATTTCAAGGTATGTTTCTGCAAAGGCCTGGAGAGTTGACTCACCTGGTATTAGTATTGGAAAGTGATCTGACTGAATGCAGAGTCACTCCTGGTCTACAGGTCTCCCTGGCTCACCTGAGGGCTATTGAAGGTCACCCAGGGCCTACATTGACCTTGAGCCTGGGTCAGTTGTGGAAGCAACCTGTTTGCCTCCAGCCTCAAGGTCTGGAGTGGAACTAGACAGGATTTGGGGGGAAATGGGGTATGGGTAGAAATCCAGGATACACTGCCTGGACATGCCCCAGCATCTACTGTCCGGCCTTTTCTTCTTGGTGTTCACCCTTGACCTTCTCTACTAGCCTTGTTGCTTTTTTGTTCAACAGGTCAAATGGATGATGTACTGGATTATATTTGCACTTTTCACCACAGCAGAGACATTCACCGACATCTTCCTTTGTTGGTAAGTACTCCAAGAATTGGGACTTTTAAAGCGAAGAAGTTGCCTAGTGTCTGGGCAGAGGTGGGACAGGTCTAAAAGCAGCCTCAAACCTTACTGCAGAACAGAGAGGCAGGTGCAGGGATTTTAACTGGGAAATGCTTAATGAATTAGTCTATAAAGTTGTTCTTTAAGTCAGTATTTATTGATTGACCTGGTAAGAACAGGTTTTGTTCTTATAATGATGTCATCATGGACAAGATAAACGCAATTTCTTAATGGATGGAGTTGGTAAAGAAGCATTCATTTTTTTTTTAAAGGAAAGAAAGGAAAAGTCACATAAGTGTACAATGAAACTGAGTTTCCCTTCCACAGTATTCACTCTGACTGTAACTCCTACTCACAGTTGTATGTGCTGTACTTAAAAAAACTGTGTGCGTATATATACATATAAGCATAACTAGATCTATTTTTATTTATTTATTTTTTTTATCCTCACCCGAGGACATTTTTCAATTTTTTGTTCAGGTAGAGTGGGAGGGAGAGAGAGGAACAGAGAGAGAGAGAGAGAATCATCGACGTGAAAGGAACACATCGAGTGGCTGCCACCCACACAACCGACCAGGGCCGGGGACAAACTGCAACTGAGGCACGCACCCCTAGCGGGAACCGAACCCGGGTCTCTCAGGACCGCAGGCCGACGCTCTAACTGCTGAACCAAACCAGCCAGGGCAATAACTAGATCTATTTTTAATGGCCACATAGAATTTCATGGTATAGATGAGCCATAATTTATTTAAGAAAACCTTTTGATGGACAGTTTTTTTCCTGTAACAATGAAGTTGTAACAGCAACGGGCAAGTAAAAGTCATAAGCTAGTTCTTTGTATGGTGGTATATCTTAAGTGAAAGAGGCTGTGAATAATAGATAGCACCCTGTTTCCATTTAAAGGGACTGAGTTTGTCTGTGTACATGTGAATGTATACTAAAAGTAGTGTGGAAAATACCCATCAGTTCACTGTGGGGTTATTTCACATTTGCTGTGTTGTATGAATGCTTTACTATGTTCAGATATCATCAGAAAAAAATATTAGATATTTCCATTTTGGAGAAAGAAGTCTTTATCCAAAAAGGATCAGTATGAACTTACCCTCCAGGTTGTCCTAGGCCAAGGACCAGACCTGAACATCACTTCTCTGAATCCTGTTTTGGGTTAGTGGCCTTAATGACCTTAGTAGGTAGTTTTTCCCATGAAGGGGCCGGGCCTTCATCTCTGTGGAAGAAATAGATGTCTCAGCATCGTGGCCTCTAGATAACCTAACTTAATACGTGTGCCATCCTGCATTGCCCTGCGCCCAGAAAAACACCGGACCCAGGACAGGGCTGAGTCTCTACGAGTGGAGAAGGAACTCTGCTGAGTCATCCTGTCTTTCCCAGGCCCCAGGGGCTGGCACTGGGAGTCAGCCCCAACTTTATGCAGACCTACACTGGGGTGGCCCCTCTATGTCCCATGGACACGAGGGTCACAGGCCAGGGCCAGTGAGGACCATAGTTAATTAATCAGCATGGCCAGCTCCTGTCCTCCAGTTTTCCCTCTTTTTTCTTTTTTTTTATCCTCATCCGAGGACATTTTTCCATTTTTTGTACAGACAGAGTGGGAGGGAGAGAGAGGAAGAGAGAGAGAGGGAAACATCGATGTGAAAGGGCCACATCGAGTGGCTGCCACCCGCACGACCAACCAGGGCCGGGGACAAACTGCAACCGAGGTACATGCCCTTAGCGGGAACCGAACCCGGTCTCTCTGGACTGCAGGCGGACGCTCTAACCGCTGAGCCAAACCAGCCAGGGCCAGTTTTCCCTCTTAACGATGGTCTCTGGCGCTGGCTGGTCTCCTGCTGTCTTCCTGTTCCTTCTCGTGAACGTCGTCAGGTCAATCGTGTTTGTCTTAGGAGCTCTTTCCCAGGACTATTGATATTTCAGTCTTGCTGCTTTTGGCTAAATGGAAATCGTGTCTGATGGATGTGCCCCTCCCTGGTAGCTGGAATATGTCCTTATCCACGGCCCTGAAATTTTAGAGTTTGATACTGAATAAGTGCTCAACAACCATTTGTGGAGTTGGTTTCGTTTTGATTTTGTGAGGTGTGTTCGTTTTCTTTTACTGCTGTAACAAATTGCCACAAATTTAGCAGCTTAAAACAACAGATATTTATTATTTTATAGTTTCTGTGAGTCAGAAGTCCAGGTAGAATCAACTGAGTCCTGTGCTTAGGACCTCACAAGGCCAAAACCAGGGTGTGGGCCAGCCTGGACTCTTACCTGCAGGCTCTGGGGGAGATTCCATTTCCAGGTTCGTTCAGGTTATTGGCAGAATTCAGTTCCTTGTGGCTGTAGGACTGAGGTCCCTGTTTCCTTCTTCAGCCAACAATGGCATGTTTCAGATGTCTATCTTCTGTTACCAGCCAGAGAAAGATCTCTGCTTTTGTTTTTAAGGGATCATGTGATTAGATTAGACCTTCCCCAATAATCCAGTATAATCTCCCTCCTTAAACTCATTTGATAAATAATCTGAATTATATCTGTCAAATTCCTTTTGCCAATTTAAGAAAACTGTGTGTGTATGGGGGTATTAAGGGACTCATATACACCCACATGATGGTATTTCTTAGCCCTAGTCAACTTCTAGAAGGATACCCAAGAAACTGACAATATTTTTGCTTTTGGGAAAGGGACTAGGGGTCTGGGATCGGAAGGAGACTCTTTGTTGTATGTGTTTTGGACATTTAGAAATTTATGGGAGTAACACCAGGACAAGAAAGTCATGGGACCAAAATCCTGTCACTGTAGAAGGAGATCTGATACCTGGTGTATTTGGGGCATGTGTGTGCGTATCGGTGGACTCGCCCCTCTTCCTGATCCACATAGAGGCCTCATCTGGTCCTGCTTAGCTGGAACTGTTCAGGTAGTTTCTCGGTGGGTAGTAAGGGCCCCTTGCCCCTCTCCTGGTGCCCTGAGCTGCCCTTGTTCAAGAGGGGTACCTTGGGAACCTTCCTGCCTGCTTCAGCCTAGAGCCTGGTCATGGCCCTGGCCTGCTTTCTCTCTTCCTGCCAGTTTTCAGTATTGCAGATCACAGTGTTTGGGGAGGCTCCTCCTTCTCCCGCTTCCCTCTTGCCCTGGGAATGGGCGCAGAAGAGTCTGTCGGAGAGAGCCCTGTGTCCCTTCCAGGGGCATGGACATCAGCTCAGCAGCCCTAACCTCTATACAACAAAAAAGGAAAGCTTCTGCCCTCACGGGGACCCTCTGGCTTCCTAGATCTGGCTTTAACTTCTGTTCACACCCAGGACTGTAGATCGCCCCTCCCATTTTCTCACGCTCCTCACCCCTCCCTAGGGCTGTGCCTTCTTCCTAGTTAACTTTTTAAAAACGTTCTATCTTGATGAAAACAGCAGTTGTGTATGGTCACAGAAGAGGTAGGATGGGGACTTGTGATTTCATTTATTTATTTATTTTTTAATTATAATATGCTGCATGCGCCCTGGCCAGTTTGGCTCAGCGGTTAGAGCGTGGCCCGTGGACCAGAGAGGCCCAGGTTCGGTTCCCGCTAAGGGCATGTACCTTGGTTGCAGTTTGTCCTCTACCCCTGTTGGGGTCATGTGGGTAGCAACCATTAGATGTGTCTCTCTCTCATCGATGTTTCTCTTTCTCTCTTCTTCCCTCTCTCCCTCCTGCTCTATCTCAAGATAAATGCAAAAAAAATGCCCCTGGGTGAGGATAAAAAACAAAATGCTGCATGCATATGGCAGAATAAAATGCAAACAAAATCTCTCCTCTCTCAGTTTCCCTCCCCAGAGGTACCACTGTTAAAAGTTACTTGTGTTTTCTTCCAGAAATTTTCTATACACACTAATTGCATGTATTTTTGACAATTTCATCCCTTGCTCGAGCCCCTTAGAAAGCACTCGCCCCTGTGCAGTGAAGGGTTACGTGGGAGGACGGGGAGGGGACAGCTGCCCGGTGCATGTGCCGCAGAAGCTCTGAGGAAGTGTGGGGGGAGCATCTGCCCTTTCCTCTCCGGCACGTCTCAAGGGAGTATCCTTCCAGAATGAGCAGGGTCCTTCTCCACTTCTTGGATGAAGGCTGGGATGTGGTAGGTTGGCTGGAAGCAGACTTGGTTGGCAGTGATTTTGTTGGTAGTGCCAGGAGACCCCAAGGCCTCTGAGTGGCTTAACCTGGAAACCCTCAGAGTCTCTGCATGGTGAGGGCCTAGGCTTGGTGTCATGATTCCAGAGGCAGTTTGAAATAGTCTCCAGAGTATCCTGGTGTGTGTGTGTGTGTGTGTTGGGGGAAGTAAGGTACAGGACGGGAGTATAGAAGCTGCTGTGTGTGTGTGTGGGGGGGGTATTGAGGGACTCATAAACACCCACATGATGCTATTTCTTAGCCCTAGTCTACTTCTGGAAGGATATCCAAGAAACTGACAATATTTTACTTTTGGAAAAGGGACTAGGGGTATGGGATAGGAAGGAGACTCTTTGTTGTATGTGTTTTAGACATTTAAAATTTTAAGATACATTACCTATTTTAATATTGTTGACACAAACGGAAGAGCGCAGTGTGACAGACCCCTTGGGACTGTCTGCGGATCCTGTGTTGGTGCCTGAGCTCACCAGAGTCATCTGCTTTCCCTTGGGGTCTGGAAGATGCTTGCTTTCAAGACAGCATTTCCTCCCTTATTGAGGATTCAAAGGTGGCAGGATCACGCCTCTGTTCCTGCAGCCCCTCGTCCATTCTGGCCATGGAACCCCGGACAGCCCTGCCAGGAAAGCGTGCCCTCGCTGCTGAGGGGACACTGCGGGAGGGCCTGCCGAGGTGGACGGCCCGGACCTCGACGAGGAAGGAGTGGCTGGGGCTCCTGGTTCGAGGTCTGTGGGAGAGTGGAAGGGCTCTGAAATACTTGCTGAAATTGCTCTCTTCTCTGGAGAGGGTGCCTGGAAGGGGTTTCCGTTCCCAGACTAGTGCAGGTGATTTCCCTCCGAGCATCACCCAGGGTCAGGTATGTAAGACATGCAGACACGATAACGACTGTCACGAGGAAGAAGTTTGTTATATTCCCAGATCTTGAGGAACAGAGGACACCAGGGCCACTGGGGAAGCACTGAGTTCAGTTCAGAAGCAGAGGTAGCCCGGTGTGGCTCCGTGGATTGAGGATCGTCCCGTGGACTGAGAGGTCCTGGTTAGATTCCTGGTCAGGGCACCTGCCATGGTTTCGGGCTCGATCCCCAGTAGGGGGCGTGCAGAAGGCAGCTGAGCAACATTTCTCTTTCAGGGGGATGTTTCTATCTCTCTCTCCTCCTTCCTATCTCTAAAAAAATCAATAAAAAAAAAAACATTTAAAAAAAAGCAGCAGCAGCAGCAGCAGAGACAAGCCCTGGCTGGTTTGGCTCAGTGGTTAAAGCATTGGCCCATGGACCAAAGAGTCACTGGTTTGATCCTGGTCAAGGGCACGTACCTGGATTGCAGGTTTGATCCCTGGCCCCCATCAGGGTCATGTGGTAGGCAACCAATTTATGTGTCTCTCTCACACAGATGTTACTCCCCCCCACACACACACACACACACTCTCCCTTCCGCTCTATCTAAAAATTAATGAAAAAATATCCTTGGGTGAGGATTAACAACAACAAAAAGCAGCTGAGGTAGGAAATGTGGGGAAGAGCCGACACTATGGTTCCATAGAAGGAACAGGCCAGGTAGGGGGAGCAGGGTTAGGTCTAGCTAGTCTGAATAATCTCAGTGGGCTCTGGGGTGTCAGGACTGTCCCTGGTTGTCTGATACCTGACCTTGGGGCAATTAGGGCAGGTGGGTAATGACCCAGAGTGTGAGAGCCCAATAAAGGAGTTAGTTGGGGGTTGTGGACTCTGGGCTGGTTGGTTTGCATCTGAAGGGAGCACAAAGGTGAGTTGTGTACTGTCTTTAGAACTGGCTGCCCTGGGAGGGCAGTCTCTTCCCAGCCTGCAAGGCCGCAGGATGTCAAAGCGTCTGAATAGAGAAAGCAGAAACCGTGGTTACTACACATCCCGACAGCCAAAGACGGCTGCACAGCTTGTTCAAGGAGGGGAGTGGGGCTGGAATGCAGATGTGCTCCCAGAACTGCACCCAGCGGAAGGGCTGGCTTTTTCTAAGGTGTACAGAGGCACCCCCTGCGTTAGTAGAGGCCTTTCCAGCACTTGTCTCAGGTTGCTGGTCTCTGTTATTTGTGATTATTTGCTTAATCTCTGTTTCCCTGACTGGATGGTTGTTCCAGTGATGTTAGAATCTCGACTGTGTCCCACTAGCCTGGGCACTCTGGGAGGTCAGGGATCAGGTCTTCTTTGCTCACCGTTGTCTCCTCAGTGCCCAGCACAAGCTGCCGGGGGTGGGTACTGGGTAAGTGCTTGTTGGGTGAATAAACGAATGGTTTGCAGGACTTCAGACTCCAGAATTGTATGTTGCCTGTGCCCTAGACTTTTCTTTCTTTTGGCACCAAAAAGGTAGGTCTGATTGCCTGCCCTTGACTTGAGTAGGGTGAGTAGCATCCTGGCAAGATGGAGGCTCCTGTGCCTGCCTCGTTTGGGGCTGAGAAGACTGCCAAGGAGGAGGCTTTCAGTCTCACAAAGACTGTGTCTGCTACGCCCTGCTGTGTACTGTGCAGGTGCCTGTGCCTTCTTGGCCACCAGTGAGGGGAATGACTGGGAGTGCGGCACAAGAGTGGCCTGAGACTGCGGGCTGGGGCTGGAGCACAGCTCCACCCTAAGTGAGCAGAGCCTGGCAGGAAGTGCCAGCTGTTGCCAGGCATGGCGTGGGGTGATTGCTGGAGGGAATCTGGGTTCCTGGCTTGCTTTGGCAAGAGGAGAACACACGAACCAGCTTTCAGAAAAGGCCTTGGGCTTGAGCTGTGTGTGTGCATGTGTGTGCACACCCCTGCACTGGTGGGGAAAGGGGGGAGCGGGGGGCCTTGCAGCCCTGTGCAAGTAGGACAGGTATCTGTGCCCGGTCTGGGCCTAGAACCTAATGGGAATGTGTGTTTCTCATATCTCTCCAGGTTTCCATTCTATTATGAACTAAAAATAGCATTTGTAGCCTGGCTGCTATCTCCCTACACAAAAGGCTCCAGCCTCCTCTACAGGAAGTTTGTACATCCCACGCTGTCTTCGAAAGAGAAGGTAATTTATGCTGCTCTGCCTTTCACACTTTCCAGCCAGTGAAAAATTTGAAAAGTGATCAATAAAAAGGGCAGATTATTTTATTGCAGAAGACCCTTGATTGGCTCTTTCTTGTCTCCAACAAGTTGTTCCTTCTAGTCTGTTTTTAAGCCTATTTTTCTGACATGTTTAGAAATAGTTGTGAAGTTCTCGGAAGGATATTTGTCGATATTTATTGTAAAACATTTCCATAAATGAAACAAAAGACAGAAAAGATTCACTCATAATTCAACTCCCCAAACTGAACTTCCTTCTTTTGATCACGCTTAGCCCTTTGCCTTTTGCAGATATGATTTTTATATAGACTATTAAAAAAGAATCTAAAACTTAACATAGATAAGAAAACTGAAGCACTGAGAGATTAAAGGACTTGAACCTGTACCCAGGTGGCTACTAACAGAGATTGGACTATAAATTATTTCTAGTACAGTCAGTGTTTGCTTTATTGTTCAATGATGAAATGTAGGTTTACCAATGAAATACCTGTTATTTTGGTAATTATCACTTGGTAAGTATTAATGAGAATAGCCATAATAATTTGTTTCATGATCTTTACCTGTTATGCTTGTTTTGTTTCAAAGTACTTTACAAACATCCTTAAAGTGAAAATGTAGATTTGTCTAATGTCAGAGATGGAAAAAAATAAGACAAGGAGAAATTGCAGCAAAGGATCAACAATAACTAAGAATTCAAGTAAAAATTACAACTTACATCTTTTGAAAAGAAACTTAATTCTAAGCTATCTACAAGATAATGTCACTCTCTATAAAATTGTTTGTTTAACAGCTCCACTGAGTCTAATTTGCCAAATTTGCTTTCAGTGGATTTTTCTATTGTTTTTTAAATATGTGAAACAATAATGAATGCAAAGTCCATTAAAATAAACTTTGACTCTGTCTTACTAACTTGTTTATACATACCAGTCTATGTAACCTTTCTTTAAAATAAAATTTTAGCCCTGGCCGGTGTGGCTCAGTTGGTTGAGTGTTGTCCCATGCACCGAGAGGTCGTCAGGTCACCATTTTGGTTCCTAGTCAGGGCACATGCCTGGGTTGAGGCTCCATCCCCACTAGAGGGAATGCAGGGTGCAGGAGGCAGCCAGCTGATCTTTCTCTTTCCCTCTCCCTTTCTAAAATAGATAAAAACATATTTTTTAAAATAATACAAAATAAAAGTTATTAAATGAATAAAATTTTAAGTGCACTGAAAAACAAAAAACAAAAAACGACGGGAAAACTTAACATAGATGCAGTATTTGTATTGAGATGGTAAACATGTTTGCATGCAATTCATTTTTACTTGGTCTTCATAACAATCTGTGAACACCACCGTGTATGGAGTTGAGTTTCTTCTTTTGACTTATTTTTTTGACTTAGAATAAATTCCAAGAATGGCATTATTAATTTCAAATTGTATAGTTCATTCATTATATTATGTGACTTTCTAAACTGAGTGTGTGATTGGATTCTTTCATATAAAATAGGAGCGCTATGGGTGGCTTTATATGTTAGTTTGTATTATTCCTGAAAGTTGAGTACTTTGGACTTCTCGGGGAAGGCTTTGGGGAACCTATCAACTGGATGAGCAGGCTGCTGTAGACATTTCTGAGAATCCCTTTAGAAGCTGTGACACAGCACTTCTTGCCTCTTAAAGGTAGATTTTGAGGAATGCAATTTCTCTCTTGACCTGGTTATCAAACCCCTGTGTTTCCTACCTTCCTTTCCCTAAGGGCTGTGTTTACCCTATGATTTCCACTGGAGTCAAGATGACTGACTTAAGAATTGCCAAGAATCACTTCCAGAGTCAGTTGGGGGTCCCATGAAAACAACAGTGGTGGCTTCCTGGGGAAGCTCAACAAGCAATGAGCAGGGGGTTGATGGCCCCCCCTGTGTACCTCAAAGCAAAGGAAGTGCTGAACTTCAGAGCAGACGGAGGCCAAATGCCATTGCCTCACTGAACTCTGCAGTGAGCCACAGTGATTACACAACAGCTGTTATATATAGCAAAACAAGCCCAAACACACGAACAAATGAGAAGAATGAGCCAGAGTTGATTCAAATGTGAACTCAGCCAGCATTTTACTTTGTTTTAGACCCTGAAGGCAACCTCCATCCTCTTCCCCAGCTTACCTTCACCTTAGGGTATGATGCTGGGTGACTTCTGATTTCCACTTTTATTTCATTATCTGCAAAATGATCTCCCTTATCCACAAAAATAACACCAGTCTTTCTCTGTGTCCCAATCCCTCTCATGGATGTACACATGCGGAGAGGTATTTGGCTATAGTATGAAACAGCTATTCAGTAGTAGAATCTTAGAGCTGGAAGGGCCCAACCCCCAGAGACAGGGAAGATCTCAGTGGTTCTCATTGAAACCAGCCACCGTGTCAGATGCTCTGCTGGGATGACCTCATGTAGTCCTCACTGTGCTCCCTGCCCCACTTTTCAGAAGACAGAACTGTGTGCAGAGACCGAATACTTGCCAAGGTCCGACAGCCAGTTATGGCAGGTCTGAGCTTAGGTACTTTATTCTTGGCATTCGCTGCACCCCAGGGTCCCTCGGTGGCCTAGAGTGGCTGTGTGTAGAACGGCAGGACTTCCACATCAGGACCCTGGACCTCCCTGGAATGTCAGAGGGCCAGAGGAACACTCCCGAGGTACTGCTTGAGGACAGCCTGCCTGGGTCAGTGAGTTGCTGTGTCTTCAGAATTCCCTCTCTCATTTGCCTGCACTTCTTCTTTCTCCCGCATTCTGTTTACATTCCCCCGCCCCAAGGTGCCTGTGGCTTCAGTCCCCTCGAGAACCAGTGCCTGGGCAAGGCGCAGCCCTCAGGAGAAGGAACAGGGCTCTGTCTGAACCTTGCAGCTCAGGTGCCTCTGCTTTTCCTTCGGCAGGAAATCGACGACTGCCTGGTCCAGGCCAAAGACCGAAGTTATGATGCCCTCGTGCACTTCGGGAAGCGAGGCTTGAACGTGGCGGCCACAGCGGCCGTGATGGCTGCCTCCAAGGTACGGTGCTGGGCCCTGACCACCGCCTGTGTGATTTGCACAGGACAAGCTAAGGACCAATCAGTGTGGTTCCTCACCTTTCTGGGGGTCCCTTTGAAAATCTGATGAAACAATGGCAAATCTTGCCCCCAGAAAATTACATGCTCACATACACAACGTGTGCAGTATTAAGGTCCCCAGCCCTGTCCAGTGTGCTCCGTGGTTAGAGCATCGGCCCACATACCAAAGAGTCGCAGGTTCAATTCCCGGTCAAGGGCACATACCCAGGTTGCAGGTTTGATCCCCAGCCCCAGTCGGGGCACGTGTGGAAAGCAACCAATTGATGTGTCTCTTTCACATCAATGTTTCTCTCTCTCCTCCCTCTCTCTCCCTTGCTCTTCCTCCCACCCTCCCTCCCACTCTCTCTAAAACAAAATCAATGGAAAAAATGTCCTTAGGTGGGGATTAAAAAAAAAGGAAGGAAAGAGGTTCCCAGAGCCCATGAAGCTCACTGTGGGTCCGAGGTCAATATCCTCTGAATTGCTTGGAGCTTAGGTCTGGGAGAAGTAGAAGAGGGGAGGGGAGGGAGGGCTTCTCTGCAGCTTCCTAGGGTGCGCTGGGGGCCTCACCTACACTCTAACTAGACAGTGGGAAGACCACCTGAGTGAGTGGGTGGGCTCCCCACTCACGGCCCAGCAGATCTGGGGCAGGACCCGGGCTCCCAAGGAAGTTGAGTGGGTCGGACAGGGAGGGTGTTATGTGTGACCGTAGCAGCTAGAGGTTTGAAATAAACACCGGCCTTGTGGGATACTGTGATGGAAGCTCTGCTTCCTTCTCCGTCCCATCCAGCCCGTTCACAGGTCCTCTGCGTTCCTTCGTAGTTTCTTCTCGCGTCACATTCACCTTGTCATTGTGTCGGTTTCTCAATGTGTGCTCAGCCCTGAAAAATTAAACTGGCAGATGTTTACTGTCAGAATAAATTCAGCAGATTGCCCTAGTTTTTTGGTGACTACCCCTCACCCCAAATCCACATGTGGAATAGGGGTCTGCAGTCAGCTGCGGGTGGAGGAGGGGCAGTTACGCCCATGTCTGGGGGATGCAGTGGTGGGGAGAGGTGAGTTTATTAGCAGAGGGAGCCAGTCCTGGGTGGCCATCTGAGGGTTCGTAGGCAAAAGAAAGTGGAGCCACGAAAAGGGTTTGGAAGAGGGCGATCATTCCAGATCTTGGTGCTCTGGGTTTTGAGAAGATGGTGTGATGGAGGGTGCTGACAGCCAGCTGGGTCAGGGGACTGGGCTGGGTGTTCTGTGCCCTGAACCAGGGGAAGCACGTTGGTAACAATTCTGGGAGAATGACTCAGCACCTGAGGCTGAGTGTCTCTCTGAAGAGCACCTTCCACCTGAAGTCAAGGGGTTCTGCAAACAAAGGCTGGGAGAGAGAAGAACCGAAAAAGGGGATGATTCCCATTTCAGAGGACTGACCCCTTCTGTGACACAGAACTTCATACAGCTGGTACCTGCCGGGACCTTGCCCACCTTGGTACAATAGCTGCTAGCAAGATGATGGGGCCCAGTGAGTATCTTTGGAGGAGACATTCTGCTTTGGTGTCCCAAGGATTTACAAAAAGCAGTGACTTTCAAGATCCTTCTATTTGAGATGCAACCATTTTATGCTTTTATTTTTAAGCTGAAAGAAAGGAGAACTCAGAATTGCTATATTCTGTATTCATCAGGCCAACTTGACAACATAAAGCTACAGAAACTTTCCCTCAGCTCCTCTCTCCACCCTGAAGCCTGGAGGAAGATGAGTTACTGCTCTTTACTCGGCTCAGTCATAGAGAATAAATGTAGTATATTTATCAGGGTGGCTCAGTGGGCCACCTGGCCACTCAGCCACAAGTGTGTACATTTTATTCTGATGGTAATTGTATAGGGCCATCCTTTTCCAGGTTTGCCTCCAGCTGGAGCCCCCAGTGTCTTGATACCATCTTGGCCAGTCGCCTCCGGCCGCTCTGACCACCTAGGGAAGCCCATGAGCTCGGACCCCCAGCAGGGCTCTGACAGCTAACTAACCTGCAGGAAGCTCCCGACAGGCTGAAATTTGCCTCAGGAAATAACTTCTCATTAGTTCTTCCCAGATGGACTGAAGTGGTGAGGGATGCCTGCTTCCTGCTGAATTGGTTTCAGAGGAGAAAGTTTGCTGCCTTTGGGGCACTTTGCTTTTCCTCTCCAATATAAATGTCTCGAGAGAGAAAAGAACAAATCTTCTCTTCCACAAATAATGCCCTCTATTTTTGAAACAGATGTCTATGTACTGAAAAAAGGAAGAAGAAAAAGAAGTAAACTCCAGTTTGGCTGAGGGGTACATCAGTGGTTTCCATAGCAACAGTGGATCACTGCAGGCAGGGGTCAAAGGATGATGAAGCACCAGGGGTCCAAATCCAGCTTTCTGTCCTTACCTCCTGGGAAGCTTTGTTTTTCATTTTTTAATAGATTCTCAGATGTGCTGAATCAGAATCTCAGGCAGTTGGCTCGCAAATCTCTATTTTTAACAAGTTCCCCAGATGATTTTTAAACAGCCAGCTCTGTATGGGTCACTGCTTGAGACCCCATCCAGAACCGTAAATGCGCAGGTGATTAACCTTGAGAACGAGAAAGCTGAGCCTGAACAACCTTATTGATTACCCCAGGGGATGAGTCAAAGCAATTTTGTGAGAGAAAAAAGACAACCTGCCAAGTCACCCATGGCTAGGGTGACCAGGTTATTTAATCTCCAAACCAGGACACATCTGAGAGTGAAAGGGATGCTATAATAATTATGCTGGGCCCAGTCCGGTTTGGCTCAGCGGTTAGAGTGTCGGCCTGCAGTACAGAGAGACCCCGGTTTGGTTCCCGCTAAGGGCATGTACCGCGGTTGCAGTTTGTCCCCGGCCCTGGTTGGGTCGTGCGGGAGGCAGCCACTTGATGTGTCCCTTTCATGTCAATGTTTCTCTCTCTCCCCCCTCCCCCCACTCTATCTGAATAAAAAATGGAAGATGTCCTCAGGTGAGGATAAAAAAAAAAAAGTTTTAAAACTGTGAGGTTTCCAGGCCGCCGTGTTCCCTAGAAACTTGAACCACATATCAGATCTCTTCTACCTGCCCACGTCTCAGACCTGGTAAACTAACCCTGCTTTTCACTTGTCTCATAACTTGAAAAATAAGGTTGCATTCCTGCCTCCGGGGATCTCATCTGCAGAGCAGTTGCAAAGGCACCGAGCCTGTTAAAGGCACCTAAGACAGCAGCTCTAAGTAAAGCAGGCATTCTGGGAATTAGGGATTCTTCTTCGCCAGGGTGTGTGCAGGTCCCCCCCCCCCCAAATCTAATATGTCCTATTGGATTGTCAGCTTCTGGAGATGAGGGGCTCTGGATTCTTTCCCTTTTTTCTTGGTTAGAAATAAAACCAAACCAAACAGTGCCGACTTGTTTCGTGTTTACAAGTATAGCTACCTGTTAATCTTATTGATGAATCTGAAGAATAAACCTTTTTGATTTCTCCAGTCCAGCTCTGTTCAGTGTGGTAACCACTTGCCACCTCTATTTAAAATAATTAAAATTAAGTCATTTTAAAATGCATTTCCTCGGTTGAACCAACACCATTTTACGTCCCCAGCAGGCACTGTGGCTGGTGGCTGTCACGGGTGTGACCGTGTCCCCCTTCACAGAGGCTCTCTTGGGCAACAGTGCTCCGAGTGCTCTGTTAAGCCCTGTGGGTTCTCTTTGCCTTATTTTCACCCCTTTCTCTGCAGTGCTGTCTTGACAACGACCCTCGCTTATCCACTCAGCATTTTGGGGCCTCTGTATATGAGGTTCACTAGGAAAACAGGGAGATGGGAACTCAGCCTATAAGCGTCCCCTGTGGTATGATTTTCATTTCTTCTTCCTCTGCCCTGGGCTGATCCTGCTGTCTTTCTCACCATGACCTCCATTCTGACTTGTGAGCACTACTTAGGCACTTTGCCTGCAGTACGGTCAGCAGCCACCAGGGGGTAGCCAAGTCTTGGTTGTTACCCTAGCATCTGAACAGCTAGGCGCACAGAGATAAATTAGTTTTCTCACTCGTTGTTTTATTCCTACTCAGTTTTGCATTAAAAATAAACTCTACAAAACAGTTCAGCATAAAGAGTTAAACATAAAAAAGTCCTCTCCCTCTTATCCTTCTCACCTGTCCATCACTGTTTTAGCTAAACCCCTTGCTTAAATAAAATACTGCTGTAGCTTTATTTTTGGAATCAGAAGATGGTTCTGAGAAGTTTGTAAGCATAGTGATTGAGGCTTCTGGGCAGGCTGGACTCACTTGCCCTTGTTGTCTTCCTAGCAAAAAACCACCTGTGTGCAGGTCACCAACGGGCAGGTGTTGCTTTTCTTTTATTAAAACCTCTCATGCTTAGAAGGTATTTTCAAGGAAGAAGAGAAGACTGCTGTCCCCTGCAGATCCCCGTATCTCAGTTCCCTGGCTTCACAGCCTCGTGTGACCAAGGCCTACAGGAAGCCTCACGCTCCTCCCTGCACCCCCGGAGGAACATCTCCAGCGCGGTGCTAGCTTGCACCAAGTCAGCTGCCTTCTGTTTTAGCTGAAGACTGGGACATAAAATTAATATTTAGAATTCACCAGGGCAACTGGTTTTAAACACCAAGATTATCTAAACTGTTATGGACAACCTGCTGCAGAAGTTTGGAAGTATTCCCTACCCTCTAGACGCCCACACAAATGAGCTCTGCCCAGCTTAGCTTCCAGCACCCTGAAGCGGAGCCCAGCTGGACTTTGGACCAGTGCGGTTCTGCCACACCGGCTTTGTCATTCTGGATCTCTTTTCCTTAAACGTTTCTGCTGGAAATGTTGCCTCACCTCACTCCCCTTGGCAGGTGGATGGTCGCACACAGAGCCCCAGCATCCCAAGCTGCTGAAGAGGGAGGGCGGGGCGGGGCCTCCCTCACACCCAGGGGCTGGTCCCACGTTAATTCCTGGCCCCTCCCTAGTCCGTG